TCCTTCCTTGCATGTGTGCATCAAATGTTTTTGTTTTCTTCACTTATAAAATATGTAAACATGGCTAGTGCATTTTCAGTTGTATGCATGTTAGTTGTATCATGTTAGGCACAAGGATGACTTTGTAATTGCTTTTATTTAGACACTGTATATGGTCTAAGGAGATTAAGTACAGGTGCCAAGTTGACATGGGGTGGGCTGTGATGATTAAGGTTGTGTGTCAACTTGGCTGGGCCATGACTCTCAGAGATTTGGCAGTTATGTAACGATGCAATTTGGCAGTCATGTAATGATGCAATTATCCTCCATTTTGTGATATAATCACCTCCATGATGTGATCTGATGTGATCAGCCAATCAGCTATAAGGAGAGTCTCCCTGGGATTGTGGCCTGCATCCAATAAATATAGATGTTCTGGCAAAGCTTGCTAGCTTTTGCTCACTGTGATCCTGCATTCAGCTTGTCATCTTCTGATCTCTGGTTCTTGGGACTTGAGCCAGCAGCCTGCTACACTGCCTGCTGACCTTGGGATTCAATGGTCTCCACAGCCTGTGAGCCAGCAGGCTGCTGTCTTACCTGCTGATCTTGGATTCGTCAACCCCTGCAGCTACATGAGTCAGGAGAAGCCTCCAGCCTGACACCTGACCCACAGACTTGGGACTTGCCAGCCTCTACAACCACGTGACTCATTTCCTTGAGATAAATCTGTCTCTCTCTGGTTTTGCTTCTCTAGAGTACCCAGCCTAAGACAATAACTAATACAACAGGTTTTCAAGATCCTGCTATAAAATGAGGCTAGAAAAAGAAAATGTATTTTAGGTATTCAAAGACACATGACTCGAGCAGGTAAAAGGTTCTATTTACCCCAGGTGATATCAGTCCTTACTCATCTTCACAATTTTAGTTAAAGTTTTTAAAGTACAAAGTCGTCCCCCTCCTCAAAGTTGCATGACTGAATAAACTTTTCTTAACAGTTTTAAAAAAAATATATCAGCTCTTTGAAGATCAGCTCTGAGGTGCACAGCACAGGGCGATGGGAGGTTAAACAAGTACAGGCTAATTATCTCAGAGCAAGTTTTCAACCCAAACCAGAATGGCATAACTATACAAAGATTTAAGGACAGGGAAGTAATTTAGGGCAGAAACCTGGGGTTCAATAAGTGGAAGTGGTCAAGAATTTTAGTGCTTTTGGTGCTCCTCCTTCCTCTGCTTGACGAGCCCTCCATGAGGAAGGATTCTCACCCTGGCAGGGCAAACACTCCTGCCATTTAACAGGAAAACAACTGTTGTCCAAGCAGGCATGCCTGCTTTAAATTCTATGTGGAACAAGATGATGGAATAAATAAATATATAAAAACTTAGGATTAAAAAAACAAACTAGGATGTAAGGTTGCCAAGTCAGAATTGATTTGATGGCAACGAAAAAAAAAATTTTTTTTAAACGTCATAGAGTAGAAGTGTGAATCTCTGCTAAATGAAGTCTGGCCACCTGTATGTACTCTGGCCTATTCCAGAGGACAAAATGGAAAAGTGAAGCATAACCAGCAAAAGTTCCTCTACTTGCTCCCCACCTGCCCATCCCTTTTGTCTTTCTTTACAATGTTCCTGTCTTTTTCATTGGGTTTATCTCAGTGTCCTTTCATGACAGGGTAACAAGTCAGATACCGTAAGATCTGGGCCGAAACACCCTCGATCTTTAGGAAGAAATATACAGCTGCTTAATTTATGGAACGAGCAGCACTGTAAACACACACAATAAGATGTGGCGAACACCTGCCTCCACAAGTAAGGCATTTATTACTGACTCCACCCAATTCATGTCCCAGTCCACCAAGAGGAGACTCCTTACAAAGAAAAATCCTTAACTAAATAAAATAATCCTTCACTAGTTACCTATTACTTGCAAGGTACAGTTTAAACTATTTAACAGGGCAAAATTCTATGGCAGTCCACAAAGCCTTAAAAACACTTCCCAATCACAATGCCTTTTCTAAGAAAATCAATCTCAGATCTTAACAGTTTGCAAAGCCAGTACTTCAGGAGAGACCAGTCCTGTTCCTCTGCCCACCTAGTAGGGAAACTCACCTTTGGCTCCACAGCCAAATGTCCCTGACTTGGATGGTTGGGTGGTTGACGGTGAGACGAAATGTCCTCCTTTATGGTTCAATAGGCTCCTATGCCTTCTTCTATTACACTGTATGGTAATTGACAGCTTTCCTGCCTGTATTTCCTTTCTAGACCAAAAGCTCTAGGAAGATAGGGACTGAGGACAGCCAACAGAGCACCTCATAGCAGAGACTCAATAAGTATTTTTTAAAGGAATGGATACAAAACCACTGAAGCCTGGAGACACGATGTGGACTAGCAGAAAAAGAAATCAACAACTTGGTTCTCAACTTTATAACTATTATTATACTATCTGTTAGATATTTTATATATATATACATATACATATATATACACACACACATATAACTATACATAACTACTATTATGACCCCAAATCAAAAACTCTTGAGTTTTTTCTCTGACAGGCAAAAAGGTAAGACTGGATTGCTAAAGACCCTTCCAACATTATAATTCTGTGTATATATATGTATAAAGCGTGTTTAAAATTATAAAACTGATTTCTAAATTAACACACTAGAATTTATAAATGCAAATGAACATTAGCCCTTTAAAGCTAGGTACTTTGGAGCAATGAATTACAGTCTCCCAATGTGTCTCTGGGGGCAGTGGTGGTTCAGTAACGTAATTCTTGCCTTCCACATGGGAGACCCAGGTTCAATACCTGGCCGATGCACCTCATGCACAGCCACCGCCTGTCTATCAGTGGAGGCTTGCATGTTGCTATGATGCTGAACAAGTTTCAGTGGAGCTTCCAGGCTATGACGAATTAGGAAGAAAGGACTGGCGATCTACTTCCGAAAATCAGCCAATGAGAACCCATCACAATGGTATGAGCCGCAACCGATCATGGGGATGGCGCAGGACCAGGCAGCGCTTCGTTCTGTTGTGCATGGGGTCACCGTGAGTCGGGGGCCGACTCAACAGCAGCTAATAACAATACTTTGGCAAGTTAATTATTACTCATGTAATTATGAAAACCAATTTGGAATTCTGCAGAACATTTTTTTTCCTAATTTAAAGCAAAACCAAGTAACCTTTTAAAAATTTACAAAAGCAACATATATTTACTACTAAAAAGCAGGAATTGTGAAGGGAGAAGAGAATTCACTCACACTCATACTCACCCGGAGACAAGCAGTAGCCCAGGTACGAATCCTTCCAAGTCCTCCTGCTATAAACAAATCCTATATGTCTACATTTCTTTCTTTATAAAACCAGGGTTATCCTACACTGGTAACCTGTTTCTTTTACTTAATATAGTATGAATATCTTTCCATATACTTTGCAAGCACAATAATCTGCGAGGCGGCAGTATCAGTTGATTTAAGCAGTCTACCACTGCTGAATATTTAGGTTGTTTACTCATCACTATTACAAACAATGCTGCACTGGATGTCCTGTAGTTAAAATGCTGTGCACAAAATTACGTTCACAGAATAAAATTTCAGAAGTAAATTTTCTGGAGCAAAGCTGCCCATTTTTAACAAAGTTGATTTGTATGCAGTCTTCTCTCTTTGGTAGCAGACTTCCATCTCTTTGAAAGTAGCTGTAATCACTGGAAGCACCCAACTCAGTGGGAGTCAAGTCTGTTGATTAAGGTGAGAGATCAAGCTGGGCAATACTATTTTTGGTTGCAAACCTCTGACTATATAGCAATGTGACTGGTTTTCACATGTGAACTCAAAGTAGCTGTGAAGGCAATTACAACAGGAATTCCAAAACTATAGTGGGCAATTGGCTCAGGACCAAAATAAGCATATTACTTTCCAAAGAGATAACTGTGAAGGGGACACACGTAGCCAGGAGTGTCACTGATGATGCTTTCTTAGCATTCGTTACACTGCAGTCATATCTCATTCATACACACAGATTCATAACAACTGAGTCAATCCATTTTAAATAGACATGCTGGTTCACCTAAAACTTTAATATTTGCAATATTTTTCTAGTATGACATTGTCATAAAAACGTATTTACCACTTGAATGGCACCTCTGATACATTACCTTTTTATTTTTCATACTGGCACCAAAAATATAGATATTATTCTCTCCATTTTATAGATGAGGAAATGGAGACTCAGAGACGATAAATGTTATTTACCTACAGCTGAAAAAAGGTTGAGTCAGAATGCCAATATAGGTCTGTTTAGCCTCAAATGCCACGTTCTTCTCGTTTTCTGACCCAGCCATGTAACACCTTTGAATGATTCTTAAAGGTACCATTATAAAACCTGTTGCCATCAAGTCGATTCTGACTCGTAGCCACCCTATAGATCAGAGCTGACCTGCGCCATACGGTTTCCAAGTAGTGGCTGGTGGATTCGAACTGCCGACCTTTCGGTTAGCAGCTGAGCTCTTAACCACTGTGCCACCAGGGCTCCAGTGTACCATTACAGGGTTGTTCAATTTTTAACCACTATGCTTAAAATTTCTTAATGACTCTACCACTAACAGTGAATAATCCTGCTCTTTATCTAACCTGGAGGGGAACTGAACAAAACTGGAGGTGCTGCTTATGAACAGGCTCATTTATAGTCTTGAGAAGAACGGGCAGTAACTACAAAAACCCATTTATTCCTTTTGAATGAAGTAAATATTGATACTAGACATTACATTTAAAGAGACTTGTCTGGCAAGTGAGTCACGTTTTAACAATAACCATAGTAAAAGGGGGAAAAAAAATTTAAAGCAGTAAGTTACATAAAAAGCTAATAAAACCTAGAGGAAACAGCTCAGTGTTTCTTTTAAACCCTGAAGAACACCAAACGTATGTTATTTTGCATAAAGAGTCATTTCAAGAAAAGACTATTAACAGTCCAATAGCAGAGTCGGCACTAAGAACTTCAATGACATCCAACTCAAACATACGTAGGGAGAGTAAAGTTATTTTATTAAATCATGCACATCACGTGTGTTAGTGCAAATAGTTTAATCTGTACTCCAGAAATTCTATTGTACTTTATATCTTTACAAAATAGATTTAAAACAATTATTTACTTTAAAAAATGTAATTCTGAAGTTAAGCATTTCAGAACAATATTTGCAATAACCTATATACAAGAGGTACTGGGTACCACTGGCGTATTAGCATTCTGTGGTGGAGTGGCTTCCTGCAACAGAAAATGATGAATACGAACTATATGACAGTATTTTCTACAAGTCATTTGTGACTAATTCCTCCAGAAATCTAGTGATCCTCCCAACAGCAAATCCAAGTAGCTTAAAATATAACCTTTAAAGTATAAACAATGACCGTCAAACATCACAAGGCAAATTATATCCTAAACTCCTATTTCAGTATTTGGCTAGACCTGTGGATTGCCACAGAACATTCAAGTCCGTTTACTGTCATTCCCTCCCAGTCTTCACTGACTGTAAAATGTAACTAGGTGATGCCTTAGGATATTCTGTGACCTAAATAAACTTTACTGACGTAATTGTGGTGCTGCACAAAACCATAGCTAAACTTTCACTCCTGTGTTTTAAGTTTATAATATCAAGCAGTGTTTAGGTGCTTCATTGTGCATAGGACACTATCATGTAATCTTGGAAACAGTGCTTCTCGTTAACAGAACGTCCCAGTTAACAACAATGAAAAGAAAATAACCATCTGCATACCCAGTGAGGATATCTGTTGGTAGGTAGGCATCAACAGCTCATCTCGAACATTAATTAGCTCCGTAACATCATAATCAAATTAAGTCAATAAAAGCTTATCTAAAGAGAGATTAATTCTTTCTTCAATTAAACATGCTTGGAGGACAGATGATGGGGGGAGAAAAAGCATGCTTCCTAAAATGCTGTATATGAGAAAGTAACTTGGCTTTTTAAAGAAAATATTTCTTTAAATACATGAGGTTTAATAAATTACATTCCAATTGACTCAACAGATTGGTTTACTGCACTGAAATTGTGTAATTACTATGTTTTGCTCCCAGAAATACTTCAGTTTGCTCAAGAAAATACACACTCTCATGGAAAGTTTTTCAAAGTTGATGTCCTCCACATCTTCAAGTCACATTAAGGCTAAACAAGCATGTACATATTCCCCAAATTATCACTATAACAGAATATTTTCCAAATGTATTTTTCCTTTAAAAAAAAAAAATTCACGCAAATAACTGTCTCTAAGTCTTGTTCCCAATAGCTCAGTGGTTTTATAATAAGTAAAAATGATGTAAGTATGTAAAAAAAATATATATGTGTGTATATATTTCAAACCGATAGGCACTGAGCACACAGGGCCTCTTCCCATGTACGTGTTGGCTGTTTGGTTTGGGTAGTTACTGAATCAGAAAAATGAATTATCTGGCCATCAGAATTCAGAGTAAAATACCCATAAATTTAATGTTATAAATAATCTGGTGTACCAAGAAGCCTACTTTAGGCCACCATAATATTTAGAATCTCAACATACTAATTTAAAAATTACATGAAAAATTGCAAGCAAATTATTGCTTACAGTAGAATAAAGTCACAATTTTATATCCTCTTTATAGACAGATACATTTGATATAATTTAAAGCAATGACCCTAGGGCTGTATTCTTGCACGTCTGCGGTTTTAAGAGGTAAAAAGGAAGGAAATGGTTCTGTCTGTCCCCAGCATGAGTGTGATGCCAGCTTCTAGAGGGAGGACGGTGTACGGACTCAAGAAGCTCTCACGGAGAAGCTCTGGCCACACCTGGCACGTACAGCACGATGGCTGTCACCACCACCAGGGCAGCCAACATGGGCATCCAGGGCCAGGGTTTCTGTGTGGAAAGAAACCAAGAGTCAGTATCACATTCTCCCCTCTTTTTCATACCTATTAGCCCCTTGGCTCCAGAGAGTCCTGGATACTCAACAGAATATGGGAAAAACCTTATCTTTGCATCGGTAAGAATACATTCTAAAAAGAAAAGAAAACAGGTGGGGGAGTGCAGGTGTGAGGAGAGCTGTGACAGCAGGAACCCTTTGGAGGACCACTGTGTGGAAGCTAACACAGCCCAGGAGTCTTTAGCCATTTTCCACTGTTACAGCTGAGATGGAGCGGCGACTTCTAAGAAACCCTCTCAGCTCGGGCTTCTCTATCTACTCCTGCATCTGTATACTCCAGCATAACTGGTGTACACAGACACCTGCACTATGTTTGCTGCCTAAAATGTTGACTTCTTGATAAAAGCCAGACTCACATATTGGGACAGGTTTACACAAAGAGCTGGTGGGTAAAGAGATAGAAAGAAAACAGCCTAGCCTTGATTCTCTAATTTAAAACCACGGAAGATAAAATCAGATGGGGAAGTGCCATTAGGGACCCTGCCTCTCTGATACTTCTCTGAAGAGCTCGGCCAGTGTAATACAACCAGTGATCACTTCATATGCTGTGCCAACATGCATGCCGGTTAGAGGCAAGCACAGACAGGCTGCTCCCTGTCATCTTTCAGAGGGTTTTATAATATTAAATTGTTTTGGTTACAGCTCCTATTTCACTTATGTTCTGAGGGTCTTACTGAGAAAGTTGGTTTTCAAAGAAATACTCTGATTACTGCAGGTCAGGGCCTGAACGATACGGTATAGGTTTATACTCTCCCAAGTAAGTGCACACTGGGGGTTAAGACTGTAAGCCAATGGTCCATGAAGCCAATCTCATTGTTTTTCATCTTCATAGCCACAGTGTAAAGAAACAGAGGGTTGAAACAAAGAAAGTCTACACTACGGACAGGAAGATGAGAGAGACAAGGGGGAAGAAAGCTGGCTAAAAAGTTCAAAGATGCAAACGCTTCATTTCTCATTCAAGTCTGATTAAACATATAATTGGGAAGGAGTACTGATACGGCAGCAATTCATAGTTTACTCCAGTTTGCTAGAGACAAAGACTCGGTTAAAGAAAACATTTGAACAACTGGTTAGGTTGGAATTAATTCACAGTTAGCATCACTACAAAGGAAACAAGACAAAATGTTATGTGATTAGTTGGCTGTTCACTTCATTGGTATGACACAATACACAGCTTACTAAATGAAGGGTTTGCTTCAGGTAGCAAAGTACCTGTGTGGTTTTGCCATGCACTATATGACAAAAATGGCACAAACAGGTGACGGGGACAAACAGACAAGGACTCAACAGTAGTGCTTGTACCTTTCTCTACCACAATGGACCGAAACACCAAAACAGGAAAGCCAGGAATAGGCCGATGAATACGGCTGGGACGGGTTGTAATATGGAAGGCTAAAGAAGGGAAGGGATGTTAGAATCATTTTATGCTATTAAAAAAAAATCAGATAAGATGATTTAGACCCCAGCGGGGCAGGGAGGAGGGGACGAAGGCTGAGGTAATAGAAGAACTAACACTCAGGTTTTGCAATGATTCAAATATTTTAAAGACATCTAACATAATCCAGAATGGTGGACTGTGGTATGTACGTTGGTAAACTACCAGTTTCAAAGGAACAGCTGGGGCAGTGGGCAGTGTGGGTGTCCCTAACACCCTAATTAAATGTAAAATGTTAAGAAAGAGCAACGATAAGACTTCACCAACTCATGCCCTGCTTGATAATGCATTATTTGTGTTCCATACTCAGAAACGGCGAAGGTTTATGTCATCACTTCATCAAAAATTTCTTTTTTTTTGGTAAACAAAAACTCTTTTGCCCAGGGGATGGTATTGTTTTCAAGCTCACAAATAAACGCCCTGTGCTTCCTAAACCAGGCAAGAGACCTGACACAATGTAGGATAAACATTTCGTGTGTCAAGACGGGCGGCTGAGTCTCAGCGATTTCAGCTGTGTTATTGGAGTGTACTTCATTTTTAAAACTGAAAAGGAATTTCTATGATGAGTGTTATTACAAAGTAACATTTTAGTAATGTAAGTCCAATATCACAACAAGAGGAAATTCACCTAAGAGATGAATTATTTTTACAATTATAAATAATAAAAGGAACATTACTTTTGAAAAGGTTCTAATGGTAGGGGGGATCTATTATGATTATGCTAGATGTCTTCATGAGTTGATTCAGCAGGAGTTGGACTGAAATTCCAAAATCAGAGGGATACGAATTAATGTAGAAGAGAGAAGAAACCAAACCATCAGGATCTGATTTCAGAAGAGTTCTCTAATCTACATTCTCAAAAACAAAATATAATCCACTTTTGCTTAGTATAAGGCCTCCACACCAAATTCATCAACTTCTGAAAGGCTTCAACCTAAGCCACAAGTCTTTATTGTCTAAAAACGAAGACTTTCTTTACCGAAGGACAGTTGGACACAACTCATGAGCACTCAGTGTACAACAGTGTAACTGGATGGCCATGCAACCTCACTCCTTTGACTTGTGCTGCAAGTGAAGCAGAGTGCCTTCCTCCATGGGAAGTGTGGGGCTCACACTCACTGCAGTGTCCAAGCCATGACAGGGGCTCGAAATAAATCAGAGCACAACCAACTACACTGAACATCCATTGGTTAGAGCCCATGAGGGCAATGATCACCAAAACATACAACACAACATTTATTTAGTAAAACATCTTTCTAAAGAACATCTGCCTTTCCAGCAAATGAAAAATAATCATTAAACTCCATTTATACCAAAATGTTACAATTTCATACATATACATATACCACTCAAAAAGTCCTATAGAAACTCACCAAATATTTCCTAATACTTATAGGCAGACAAAAAGACACTGAACTTTTTACGAAGGTGCCTTACTGTGCAATTAGTATAAAACGGAAAACAATTAAGTCTTCATTTTTTGATACAGTCAAATGTAAGGAGTCAACTCTCTCTTAGGTGGGTCCCTGGTGCTTCATTTCCTAGCAGGGGAGAAATAAGAGCCAGATGATGGCTCAGTGATAGAATTCTGGGAAAAGCTGAGCGTTCTTAGTAAGTTGTTTTCTTGCAAACAAGGTTCTTCCTCCAGGCAGCCTTCAGGCTTTTCTAGGGATCTGACAGCATAGTGATTCCGTCATGGAATTTCATAATGAAAAGCTTAGCTCATTTGTATGACAGGCCCTTAGCTTCCCACGTCAGTAATAAAGTCCTCTGAAAATCAGTTTCAGGGCCCTCACTACTTGCCTTTCAACCAAAGCTAAGCCAAGTTTGCAAAGACTTACATTATTTCCTTTTTCTCGGAGAAGCTTCAGGTTGTCTTTACATTGTTTGAGCTCATCTGTGATTGATTGCTTTTCCTGCTCAGTCATTTCATACTTCAACTTCAGTTCTGAGAGTACAGTCTGTGTCTTTTCATACTAAAGGCAAAGAAAAAAAAGTGTGCAGACTCAACTTAAAATGAGTGTGAAGTTATGGTTCTAGTCAGGCTTATATACCAGGCCCTATTCAGTCATCTGAAACACTCAAGTCAAGCGTTTTTGCTTTAAGGAGGATAAAGAACAATTTATACTCATAAGAAGTCTTTAAAGTTGACTTGATTCTACGTAACAATTGTCTGGCCCTGGAGTTTAAAAAAAAAAAAAATTGACAGAAGTCACCATTTTGTCATCTGTTTCTAATAAAAAGGGTCACTTTTTCCATTAAGTGAGTTTTAGGAGAAAAGGAAAATTTCAAACTGAACAAAAGGAAAGCAAGTAAAGAAAACCTCCATGGCCTAACTAAATGGCAAGGTTAGGGAAGCCTGAGTTTATAGCCCGGTAAGCAATGCCAGCCAAGTTATTTCAGTCTTGACGGCAAAAGTATAAACTCCAAATAGGCCTCCCTTTATTAAGGGTATTAAAGTGCTCTGAATAAGTGATTTTTTTTTTTTTTAGGCAAATGATGCAAAGAAATGTACCTAAATCACCTGTCACTATAATTGGGACATTTCTCTCTCTCCACGTAAAACTTATAAGCATCAAATTAAAATAATTTAAAAAATGTTTCTGACAGAATTTTATCTATAATGAAACATACCATTTCTTGTTCTGCAAAACAGTTCACTGTATTTTAATTTACTTTCAGATGGACTATCTATCCTTTGAACACAGGCAAGGCCAATGTGAAACGCAGTGTGGTTTGCCCCTACTTTAAATGGTCCCAGGAGGCTGGAATTCTATACTGGTTCAACTTCTAGATATTATATCTTACATGCAAGCTGGGCTCACACTCAAAGAGCAGACTGTTCTGCTGCTGGCTGTTCCTTTGTCTTGGCCTCCACTGTCCCATTCTGCCATCTCTGAAAGTTTTAGAAGCAAGACGGAAAGACAAGGACTGAGCTTAAAATAAATACACCATGAATGTGGCACACCAGGAAGGTTCCTTCTCTTCCCCAAAAATAGCCCATGAGGCTGGAAAGTATTCAGTTCCTTTCTACCTATATCCTAGAAATCCCTTAATAGAGGATATCTTTAGAATGGTGCTTCTGAAAAATACAGTAAAAAATGGAGCTCATCATTACACATTCCAGAGACAAACACCAAGGAAGAAGCAAATGTATACAAATATTAGATAGAGGAGATTGGGGGCGGGAAGTTAGAGCCAGCACAGAAGTCACCAGAAAGTGGGAAAATGAGACACGGGTACAGAGAGGAAGGTAAAATACGAAAGACATTCCCTATTACTCAACAGTGTTCCCAGAAAAAGCCCAGGTAGTACAGACGAGAGAATGAACCAAGGAGTAAGATTCACAAGCTTTATGACAGCTCTTTTCAGTAGATGTAGGGTTCTGTGGGGAAAGCAGAAGGTCACCAGTAGGCTGCCAAAGCAATGTCAGTGTACCCCAACTAGCCTCTGTACCTGAGAACATAATTAGTTCTCATTTATCCATGATGAGATTCTTCACAGTGAGTAATAAAGACAAAGTGAAAAGTGCTTTGCTGATCAAAATATTCCCTTACTTTTCCACCATTCTTACAGTCAGCCTGCCCTTTACATCAAAGCACCTAATCACTCCATTCCAGGAGATGTGAAGCAGAACCACAGGAAGGCAGCTCAGTCGTGAAGACCCTGCTGCCTACCTGCAGGGGGTGAGTGGGGTGGGAGATACTCTGGCGCCAGGGCAAGATGGCGAAGCCAAACAACTGTACTGAGTCAGTCCTCGCGGGGCAGATTGGTGCAGTTAGTGTTTTGTGAATTCTTAAACTACAGAGGTCCCTACTAAATTAAAATATACAGATACTTTCTAAAGCCGAATATAAAGGTGTTATACCATTATTATTCTCTTAATATGGAGGATTACAATTTACTTCTCTCATGTATTTTTTTTTTCTTTGTTAAATGTTCAAGTAAAAGCTGCCGCATATGTAAAATTTAACAGGCGGAACGAAGGCCACCTTCTGCAGCCTCAGTCTCCCACTTGGCTTGGATCACATCTTGCTTTGGGTGAGAAACCAGGTCAGTCTTGATTAAGAGGGAAATACCAAACATATTACCAACACCCTTGGTTCTTCTTAATAAAAATAATCATATCTGGGCTTGTTTAGCTTGTAATTTTGTTAGTGTTGAAGACACATAATCATGATACTGTGCACATTCAGCATGATTCTATGAGAGAAAGGAGAACAAAGGGGAAATGCTGAAAGGGAATGTATATGTATGTTAATAAAAGGTAATAATTCATTTGCCGTGGATTACACAAAGAACCTCATTAAAGAACATTTTAGTTACAGACCAGTTAGTATCCAATAGGTTGACATCAGGACAAACAGAAAGAGAAGCAATTTCACATTACAAAAAAGTGTGATGACTACAATCATTTCACAATGGAAAACATTGAACAAGAAAATAGAAAAGAAACATACTGACAAGGTCAAACATATTTTTAAATGTGCTGCATTTAATGCAATCCAAAGACTACCAACAATTTAGATGCTGTGACAACATGCCACTGCCATTGTGGAAACAGTTCAACAAAGCATTTTGCACCGATTGCTCAGTGACTAAAAACAGGCAAACAAATAATGCAACAAAATGGCTTCTGCAGTCATAGCAACATACAACAGAACCATCTTCCGACCACAGCATTCCTCCCAGATTTGGAAAGAATTACGGCATATGGGCTGGAAGGACACAAAGTGCTTACAGTATTAAATACTAAGATATTTACTTTGGCACAAAATTTGTGTTCCAAATGAAAGGAGATTTCCCCCAAAACACATATCCTTAGCAATAGGATAAAAACAAACATATTACAAAATCAGTATGTCTACATGTAAATAAAAAATGTTACAGCTTTTTTTTTTCTTTTTTCTTTAGGAACAAACATGAAGACAGAAGAACAGTAATCATTTCCAAGTTCAGGTGACTACAAGGAAAGGAAAGTGCAAAGAAAAGTTGAATTGATTAAACAGATCTTTTAAAAACAATTTTGGGAAGAGAAGATTCATTATTAAAGACAAAAGGTTATCTTCCACTTCCTTCTAATTTGTAACAAATCCTTCATTTAGGAGAGTCTACACTGGGGTGGTCCCTGACCAGCGGATGAAGTGGTACCAGCCTTCTCCATCACCCCGACTGGCCAGGAGTCAAGGCAGGGAGCAGTATGAGGCCAGCAGGACCGGACACAGCTCTTTACTGCCCCGCTGGCAACTTCAAGGCTCTGGGAAGTGAAAGGTATCTATGCTGCTGACAGTCAACCCTCACCATTGTTCAATGATTTTTCGAAAAACCCGCCCAAGTCAAGGTTTTAAAAGCAAAATGACATGAAACGTGAACATGCATATTTGTGAAGAAAGGGGAAAAGGGTGGGGGAAGAAAGAAAAAGGCCATAGAACATGTGTTTCGCTGGCTGACTAAGAGGTGAATTCTAAGTAACTTTTCAGGCCATTTTCACCTGAGGGGTTTGGAAAGCATTATAGTGTGGCCCCAGCTTGCTTTCCAAAAGTATTCTAAATTAAATATAATATTCTCTTTGAAAGAAAAACAATGGATTGAGTGATCTGGTACAAAGGGTTTCTCATTTAGGTCAACTAACTGGTAGATAAACATTAAGAATGTAATTTTATATATTATATTTTTGAGGCCAAACCCTACTGATAAACTCTCTATTTATGGACCATGATTCACAGCTAACAATCACCAAGCAGGGATGCTCCAAATACCAACTTTGTGACAGGTAATGTGACTCCTGCTTCCCTTCATTTCTAACTAGCAGCATGGGAATCTGACTTGCTTCTGGCTTTAAGTCCAACCATAATTGGGCTCATGTCTTTTTGCTTTACCTCTTTCTGTACATCCTTTGCTTGGTTTTCAGCCTTACTGAGAAGAGTTTTTAAATCAGCTGAATCCCGAAGATGCTGTTCTTTCAAGGATCCCACTTGATTCTCAAGCTCTTTTCTAGTCATCTGAAGGATGCTGAGATCACTGGTAAGCTCTAGACTCTGCTTCTGAGAACTGCAACATAAAAGCCACTCAGGTTTACATTTTAGTAAATATCGACAGCTCTTCACAGGGAGAAACTGGACACAGCAGGCAGAATGATTTGTATACATATTCACTACAAGAGATGGGGTGGATTTCAGAGGAGAAAAGAAAAGGAAAAAGAATGAGATATTTTCACTAAAACACTAAAAAAAAAAGCAAGTTCAAAGCTGTGTCCTATTTTCAGATAATCAAATATATGCAAAGGTTAAAACTTTAAAAATGGAAATAGGAAGTAATTAATTCTACTTTATGTTAAATCACATTATATTGATTATATCATAAAAACATTCACTGTAGGTCTTCTACAGGAAAAAAAATCACGTATTTCAACTATTTCTTTAAGTGTAAGTAGTTGACAAATAGGGTAGCGGACAGAAACTTAAAGTGTAGGAGCCACTGCCAACTCGAATAAAGATAATTCTGCTTAAATGAGAAGATAACCCGAATTAGGGGAAGAGCACGGGGCAAAGAAGAAGGGTAGGTTCTGGAGCCCAGCTCTGCCACTATTCAGTTGTGGGATGTCCAGTAAGTCACTTAACTGGAGCAAGCACATCCTTTGAGCAAGCATCTCCTGACCTGAGACCTGTGGCAGGCACTGTGTAATAAGAGACAAAGAACAGGGTCTCAGTGTCCTCTGCTGTCACACAAGAGGGTGGAACTCAATTGCTGAGGCTGTTTTCCAGCTTAAGTTCTATGATTATTTTTAAGACTTGATGTAAAAAAGCCTGATTTACACATTAGGAAAACAGCTTGATATACCTGAACAAGCATTCTTTGTTCGATTTCTTCTTCTACATCACAGACAACAGAGAGCAAAAGACCTGTAGTTTTCTTAGGGGATTTGGCTCCCACCTACCACAGAAATATCTAAAGGAGGTTTTCAAGGGGACAGTTTTATGCCTCTTAGGACAGGATCATAAGAATGGGACTCGATGTTGTAAATAAGGTCCCACAGAGTTTACGTCCATCGTGATAGTATACCAGGGCAGGTCTGACGTTGTCAAGACAATACAGCTAGGAAGTAACTGACATATAAGACTCTGTAAAGGAAGGCTATCTTCTAAATACTACCTAAATGCTGGGAAGGCTTATCGAATAAATTTAGAGACTTTCTAAATCAGAAAAATTAAAGAAACAGAATGAACCTGTGTCAAACAGTTTCTGTGAGTTTAAGCAGACGACCTCGCCAACGATCTGATATATCCCAGCCTTCCGAGGCCTACTATGTTTATACCACAGGCTTCTAACGCACAACCGGTTTGTGAGCTTGCTTTTAAACAGTTACACAAATCAGTAGTAATTAAAAAATAGCATTTAACAATACGCCAGATTCCAATTAACTATATGTCAAAAATAAGAGGTCAAGTTTCAATCTTTAGAATACCAGTAACTAAAAAACAAGAAAAATTTAATATGATCAACAGTGGTAATCAAATGTCAGTATTTCTTGCTTCATCAAATTCCAAACAAAATGAATTCCTTAAGATTCTAATGTATTCCAAAATGTGAAGAACTTTGGTGTCTGCATCATGATCTTACACACACTTTATGCCAAACAATGTGTCCTAATGTGCTGACACACAGTGATCAGTTGGTTCTCCTAACCAGTATCTATATGCAACACACATACATGGAACAAAAAAGTGTGTGTGTATATTTACATGTTTTTGGCCTTTATTTTGTCCTATTCATATTTTGGAATTGCTTTTATGAAGTTTTTATGTTATAAATATTTTACTCTTTATTATTAATTATCTCTAACCATTCAAATAGTAATACAAGTAAATGTATGAGAAGACGAAGGAAAGTCACGACAGTGGAAGAGAAAATCAAAGCCCTTTATAGATATTTATATTGGAAACATATGGTATTGTATGGCGGGGCTTTTAGAGAATACATCAGCACGTCTTGTTCCTTCAGCCAGTTCTCAATTTTTCTCTTCCAAATGTACAGTCTACATTACAATTGTTTTCATTATTATAAACCGGTAATAAAGCTTATTATTTTCTGACTGGAGCCCTGGTGGTGTAGTGGTTAAGAGCTTGGCTGCTAACCAAAAGGCTGGCAGTTCGAATCCATCAGCTTGCTCCTTGGAAACCCTATGGGGCAGTTCTATTCTATCCTATAGGGTCACTATGAGTTGGAATTGACTCACTGGCAATGGGTTTGGTTTGGTTTTGATTATTTTCTGACTTATCTAGTCCCGTCTTTATGACTTTTTCCTAAAGCTTGTTTTCTACGAGAACCGACCTTGATTATTGAGATTTTGCTAACCTTAATGTTCTTCAGGCATGCAAACACAACCTTAACAAGAGAGTAATGACCCTTACTTGGTGTACTGGAGGGGGAGTTTGGATTTATTAAGAGTGGTTTTAACAATAAATATGTATTATTTTAATACTCAGAACACAATCATTATTTTTAAAAAATAAAAATATGGAATGAACCAAATTTTTAAATAGGAAATTAATTTTAAACTATGGAACAAATGTTGGTGGGAGAACAGGACTTCAGTAAACTTGCTGGGATAATCAATCTCATTCCCTGGTTTGCCTGTAAGGTGTTGGCTACTAGAAATATTTACTTGGTTTTAGAGAATGTTTGATCCTATATGTTACTACTCTTCATATTACTCTGTTTGAAATTTAGAAGCTGAATTATATCTTTTGGTATTACAGATTTTTTTTTTTATAGACATCTTCTGATCACCCTTACTAACAGAAGCAATCACTGGCAGGAAAGAAAGACAAACCTGTACTTCACATTTATCATCATTTAGTTTATAGGGCAAGTTCAATGACTAATTACAGATCTTTGCTGTTTATTTCTGTAGGGATGTTTTTAGAGGGCAGGTATTTAATGAATTTGTATTTCACGAGCACACCAAGAAGAAATGACATGTAGAATGATGATGATGGCAGAAAAAAAATGCTGAATTATTCATTCAACATGGCTAACCTGCCAAACTGCCCGAAAGTCTGGCGGAATATTTTGCTCTTAAAAGGTATGTAAATATTAAATTTTGATTTAAGTATCAAAGTTTAATTTAATTTAGATGAAAATTTAAGATAAAGAAATATTTTGAAGCTAAAAGAGAGAGAGTTCTTGCATACTTGTGCAATTCCCTTTCTTGCCGCTGCAGTTCTGATGAGAGCGAAACATTCTCCTTTCTTAGAGAACGGCACTCAGTTTCCAACACCTTCCATTCCCTTCTCAGCTTCTCTAGTTCACCTAAAACAGTGCAAAATATATCTGTTAATATTGGAACATAACTTCCATAATAATTCAAAGGATAAAGAGAAATATTTCAGAAAAGAAAATATTCTTTTCTTTTCCCTTGAAAACATGCAGATTTTACATGGCTCTTCTTTGATTCTTGTTACTTTGCAACTATATCTTAAGGAAGTCCCATCACCTTGACCTTGATTACTACTTTTTTTTCCTGCTTCACTTTTATAAAGCAAACAAATTTTAATATTATTTAAATAAAATGTAATGTTCTTACAAAATTTTAACTATTGTAGACATGAAGAATATGTTTATAGGCCTAGTATGAGAAACAGTGCTTTATACAACCTATGGCTATCAAAGAGAAAAACAGCCTGAGTGGTTATTCTGTACAAGTTATAAAGTTATCACTGTCAAGATTTAAGAGCTTTACGTAAAATACATTTACTTACCTTGCAACCTTGTTGCTTCCTCTCTCTGCTGGTCCTCACACTGCTGACATCTAAGCTGAAAACTGTTTTGAAGACTCACAATTTCTTTTTCATATTCAGACGCTGCTTTCCGCCACCGCTCAAGCTCAGCTCGCACCTTCCTAAGCTCTTCTTGTAAAGAAGCAATGTCAGTATCCCGCTCGGAGGCAGCCCTTTCTGCTGCTTGATGAAGGAGCAAAATTTCATCTCGAGCACTAAGCAATTCATCTCGAGTGTTTGTGATTTCCTTGTCCTTCTCCTCTCGAAGATTCTCAATATCGATGTGTAACCTCTGCAGTTGGGCTAAAAAGGTATATTTATCCATCATTTTATTAGACCATAGGAATTAGGAATAAAAGAACAGCTCATCCAGGACTGTAGCTACAGCATAGCCCATGCTGTCAGAGATTGTTTTTTCTTTCCCTGATTGTGGTATAATACATATAACAAAACATTTGTCATTTCATCCCTTTCTATGGATACAATTCAGTGACATTAACGGCGTTAAATGCTGTGCAACCATCATCACTATCCGTTTCCAAATTTTTTCATGACCCTTAACAGAAACTCAGTACCCTGTAAGCAATAACTCCCCACTTCCCCCTCCCATATGTCCCAGTAATTGCTAATAAACTTTGGTCATTATGCATTTGTCTATTCTCGATATTTCAGATAAGTGAGATCATACAATATTTGTCCCTCTCTGTCTGATTTATTTTGCTCAGCATAATATTTTCAAAGAAAGCCGCTGTTTTTATTAAACTGTACAGGCAATCATATTTAATGTAGAAAATGTCAAAATACAGATATAAAAAGAAAAAAACCCAAGTGATCTTTATTTCCCACGCAGAGAAAGTTGTGTCTAACTTTGGTATTTATTACTCTAGATTTGTTTTCTATGCATTTTACACATAAAAATATACATTAAGTAGGGGGGATCATAATATATATAGTGTACTATATTCTGCTGATGAGCATCTTCCTGTAACAGAAAATAGTTATGCCATCACCTATTTGACCAATTCTTTCTTTTAGACATTGTAGGCTGTTCAGTTTTTCATCACTATAATGCAATCCAGACAATCTTCCTGGAGTTCCTGGGTGGTGCAAACAGCTAATATACTCAGCTGCTAAATGAAAAGGTTTTCGACCACCTAGAGTCACCTCAGAAGAAAGGCCTGGCAATCTACCTCCAAAAAATCACCATTAGGAAACCCCTATGGAGTGCAGTTCTACTCTGACACACATGGGGTCACCAGGAATCAGAACTGACTCAACAGCAGCTGGTGGTCGTGATTATTTTCTTCGGGTGAATTCCTGGGTCAAGCGTTAAGCAGTAGCAAAACATCTGATGTACCTGATTCACTTTTCTGTTCAAACGTTAATTCCTTAAAGAGGTTTTCTCTGATGATGTGTCTAAAACAGCATTCTGTCATTCTTCAGCCCTTTACTCTGCTTTATACTCCTTCAAAGCCCTTACTGGATATTCATTACATTATAGCTTTATTTGCTTATCGTTTATCTTCTCCACGAGACTGTAAATCTCACGTGTGGAGGGCCTTTGTTTTACTCACTGCTCTATCTCCAATACCTGGCAGAGTAAACCATTTAGAATTACTGAATGAATTGATCAAACGAATAATACTGCCTAGCGAAAGAGGTATATTTTATAAGAATCCGGTTGTATGACCCAGATTTCAAGTGAGCTGGAAATAATTTGTGTAAAATCATAACTTGGTTCATTCTTGGCTACCATAACACAAGAAAGTTACAGGTAGAAAAGTTTCAAAGGAGAGTAAATAAAATAATTAAGAGGATTGAGGGCCAGGAGAGGCTGAAGTTGCCATATAAAAGTTGCATTTTAAGTCTGTAGGAAGGATTGAGGGGCAACACGTTCAAAATCTGAAAAGGTACAATGGCCAGAGATAAGATGACCAGGACGTGTTGTCAAAGTCCTGAAATCTACGTGCTGACACCTGGGCACACTCAATGATGCCTGGGCAAGACAGCTTTAAGAGAAAAGGCAGTACTATGGCATAGAACCTTTAGGGAAAGTTGCCCATACACGGTACAAGATGGAAATAAAGATTCAAATCAGATTTATATAAACTAATGGACAATGGCCTTAAACTATAATATCGTTTTAAAGAGTTTCTAATTTAAAAACGCCCACAATCTATCCCCAAAATTATAATTTGATCATAATAAAGTCCAAAATTTTAAATAACTCAGATGTTCCCTTCAAAAATAAAAACAGAAGACCCAAAAGACTGGTTTTTCTCTGGGACATTTTAGGACAAATATCAAAGGTCTCATACGATGACACCCCATCTTTTCTGAACTGTGATTACTGGTCTATTTCTTCTCACTTCACTTCTCAAGTGAAAATTTCAAATTAACACTGGTTCCTTCTTTGACAATGAAGGTAAATTAAAACTGCTTTGGGAATTTTACATTGGAAAGAAAGACCTCTCCTAGGCATCTCACAACGATAGCCTCCTAATCCCAGGAGCTGCAGCTGGAAGAAAACACCTGACAGGTAATCGGGGGTCTTTCTGGTCATGTCTGTAATGATCCTGTGACAGTCCAGACAAAGAGACAGCAAAATGGTGGCTATGAAGAGCAGCCATTATCAATTATGGCAGTTCAGGGACCATTATTCTACTCCATGTGGTATGTCATTTTTACTGTAATGCAAGTGTGTTATGAGGATCAGAAATAATGCCACCAGCAAGCTGAAAGTACTGATGCACAGAGTAGCTCAAACAGCTTTCTTATCCAAAGACCTTCTCTGTAGTAAGTCATTACATAACCAAGAAAGTGACCACCTTACCACATCCGTATCTTTACCTTTCCATGCCAAGTGTCTAGTATTGGAGTACGGGGGAGCCTTTACTTGTATCTTCTTTAAAGAAAGAAAAAGCCCCACCAAGGCCATTGATAGTCTCAGGTTCTAGGGAAGAACCAAAGCATGAAAAATGGGGACCCTCTGCGTTTGTACTTTCCATTCCTTTGGAGTCACTAAAAACAAATAAACAACAACAATCTCAAACAGACTTGGAGCATTCCATACCTTGAAGAACCTGTATTTGTTTAGTGGATTCTTCAACTTGATTTCGATAGGCTTTTCTTTCTTCTTCCAAAAGAGCTAGAAGTAAAAACACAGTATATCTAATTTTGCGATTAATTAAATATTAAGAATTGAATAGCTGGACATTTCTAAGAAATTCTCTCCTATAAGGTTCTTGAAGGAAACAAAGGTTAGGTAGTAAGTGTTATTATTAGTAGTTAGATAGTTTAATGATTTTAGGAGCACAAAACAGTAGTAAATAGTAAATCTATTCAACTAAGGAGCCCTGCTGGCGCAGTGGTTAAGAGCTCAGCTGCTAACCAAAAGGTCGGCAGTTGGAATCCACCAGCCGCTCCTTGGAAACCCTATGGGGCAGTTCTACTCTGTCCTATAGGGTCGCTATGAGTCAGAAAGGACTTCACGGCAACAGGTTTGGTTTTTATTCAACTGAGCATAGAGTTTTCTAGACCCTATATCACCAAGAATATTTGCTCTTCTTCATATAAAAAGCATTCTTGATAGTTGTTATCAAGATAATCTAAGTATTTTGAGCTTAAATTTAAAACAGACTTAAAATTCTCATGTTTACTGCCAAGCACAAAGTAAGCACTGAGTAAGTAACTGCTGACTGACATCGGTACATTGGTATTATATGCCTGTTTGTTTGCTGAATACTTTTTCATTTTAACTAAATAAATTAGCTTGGACCCTCCAAAAGGTTCAAGTTAAGTGAATACTAATTCTAATTTTTTCAAGAAGCAGAAACAGAAGGAACTAGTAACAGGAAGTTCTTAGTTCCTCCTGGGATGTGACTTCTCCTCCTGGTCAGGAGGGCCGTCTTAGAGAACCCAATGACTCCACAAGCCATTTTCTCCTGAGACTCTCTTAAGGCACTGACTGACTGCAACCAGGTAGTTACTGTGAATGATGAGGAAACCTGTGCTCTAGGGAGCAGCACAGGCTTCACTGGCTATCATATCTATAGCTCACAGAAAAGAGAGTGGTTGGGACATTAGGAGATTGTACACCTTAACCTTGACTGGTTCTTCCCATTTACTGAGGAATATACTATAAAATCACAGGGACCATACATTTTTCTTACCTTACACTGAGTATCTAACATTATGTGTAACTAAAACTTGGAAATTTATATACACTTTTTTTCCTTGTGTTGGCTCACTATTTAACATGTAATTACTACTAAGATCTTCAGTGGGTACAGGCCTCACTTAATCTTCCCATGAGTGCTGTGAAGGAGGAACTGTAACTCGCCCCACTTTACTGACCTGAAACAAAAGTTCAGAGAGGTTAAGTGAATTTCCCAAGATCACATGTCCAATAAAGTTATGGATCTGGAAAAAGATACTATTCCTCTGGACTCCAAGTTTGGGGCTATCCAGTTATATCATGTTGCCTCCACACAGCCCCTAAAGAATCAAAGTAATTTTGATCTCACCTTGAAGTTCAAAGCATTTTTGTTTACTTGCTCTAGCTAGCTCCTGGGCTTCAATCAATTCCTTGCGAAGATGCTGAATTTCTTGTTTTGCCTCAATTTCTGACTGTGCACCCTGCAAGTCATCTGACAAAAACATGTTTATTTTAAAAGCAAGAGTTAGTATCACGCTAAAATCTCTCTACAACCAAAGACTAGCAATCTCTTTTATGTTTAGACATGCATTGTTAAACAACACAGCACTACTGAGTTAAATAAAATTTAGAAGCAAATTATAGTAAGCATTTTAGTCATTTTACCCTAGAGAAAGAACGCAAATACAGTTAAACATATATTAGTATTTAATGGCAATGGTACTATAAATATATATTAACATATACTGAATGATATATTTCATTCATGTAGAGAATATGGAAGTCTTGAAATCCAATGAGATGGGCAAAATGCTATTCTTCACTAATTTTGAATTTTCCTGATAACAAGTCAGAAACATTTCACTTGCAACTTAACTGGAAATGGAAAAACAAAATTGAACTTTTCTTCAAGAGAAAGCATTTTAGCACAATTTTCCCAGTTTTTGGATACAAAATAAAAACTAGGCTGAAAACTCCATCTGGACAGGGACTACGCCCATTTTATCATCACTGTTTCCCCACCACCAAATATGTAACAAATAAATATTTGCTGGATTATTCAATGATTTAACCTAAATGGTTCTATCGAAATAAGTTAGATCCAGCATTACAGCTCAAATATTCCCCCTGCCCCTAACCTCTTTTCTTTCTAGCTACTCTGTTCGTCTTTCATTGTATTAAAACTTTCTGCTACTGAACATTGCCTGGAATAAACATATCGTCAGATAGGACATATTCTTCTAGTGCATTCTATTACTTTGACTTACAAGTATCTCAGACGTAACAGCTTTAACCCATCAAAAAAGAGCTAAGAATAAGTTTTCACAATACAATTACAATAGGTCTTGGATGCTACATACATATATTTTCATACTTTTAGATTATATCCTACTTTTCCCAGTCAAAAATTTTGATTCTGGGTTCATCTTTTCTAGTCAACCTATCAATTCTTCCTTTAAAAGGTCTCTTGGTCTGGGTGGCGGCATGCAGAGAGACATTTTCCAGTGGTGGGGACACTGTCACAGCAACCGTGAAACTTCTCTCACACTCTCAACATTACCCACTGAAACCTGGAAAGGTCCTAGACCCCCATCTCTAGATTTGCCATCAAGTAGAACAATGTCCTTATTTTTAGGAGTATTTCGGAGGGCAGTGTCATGATGCCTACATCTGACTTTTAAGTGTTTAGCAAACAATATCTACATAAAGTCCTTGAAGAGCTAGTTTCCTAGTTCTATGTTGACATTTTGGGCTGGTTAATTTTTTGCTGTGGGGCTGTCCTGTGCATTGTAGGATGCCAGTAACACTCCCTACCCCCAAGAGTCTAATGACCAAAAATGTCTCCAGTCATTGCCAGATGTCCCCTGGAGGGTGAGTCAAATCAAAGCGTATCTTCTCAAGTTATACTCTGCATGTGCATGCTGGCTGAGACTTCTACCACCATCACTCGTTCCTTTACAAGGCCTGGAAGTTGCAGGCTTGGCTGATAAGAAGAGCCGCCACGGTGGGGAAAGAATTCTTCCATGGTGGGTATGCGCAGCCACATGAGACAGTCAGGGCACCCTAACTGTGTTTTTAACTTTGGCAGCAGCCTCTTGTTGTCGAGTTTCACCCCACTGCCACTCATTCTGACCAGCCTGGTTCCTTTTTACAGCTGGATCGTCTGTTGACTCCTTTGTCCTCCCCATTGTTCTTTTTTCTTTCTTTATAAATCCCCTGCTGTCACCTTCCACCCCATTCAGAGAATTCCCAAACTTTGTTACTGCTTTCTATCTGACTAAGTCGTATCATTTCCCCACATCTGCCCCACGTGGCCTGTATTCCACCACACTTGCACTCTTTTTAACTTCCCTCCTGCTTTGCACTGAATTGTGTCCCCCAAACTGTGTTGTAAATCTAGACTCCTATACTTGTAGATGTAATCCCATTTGGGAATAGGGCTTATTATGTTAACAAGGCCATATCAGTGTACGGTGTATCTTAGGTCAAGCACCTTTGAGATATAAACCAAGCTGGTTAGGCACAGAGAGGGAAGCAGAGATGGGAGAAAACAGAAGCCAGGCCACATGAAGATTGCCAAGGAACTGACGAACAGAAGCTGAAAAGAGCCAACAGAGACAGAAAGCTCTCCCGTAGAGCCGGCACCCTGAATTCGGACTTTGAGCCTCCTAAACTATGAGAAAAAAACTTTGTTAAAGCCACTCACTCGTGGTATTTGTTATAGCAGCACTAAGAAACTAAGACATCTCCTGGTAGATGTTATTCCTACTTTGAACATTATCCCTATTTGTAAAGTTAGTGCTATTTTTAAGAAATGCAAGGCTCCCTTTTCCTTCTTAGCATATTCTCACTTATCTTTGAACCACCTCCTTAGAGAAGCCTCTCCTGACCACTGCTACACCCCACCCCTGCCACTGGCCAGGAAGTTAGCCGTGCTCTCCAAAGTTCCTACCACTTATCAAAACACTTATTATACTAGCAATGTATCTCTTTTCTCCATAAGACTGCAACCTCCTCATATGTCTTATCTCTGTGTCTTCAGGGTCAATAAATGTCCCAGGAATAGAGGAACATGATTTTTTAGTTCTAGTTTCCACCCTGCACTGCCAGCTGCATCTCCAGTTCCTAGATGACTAGATAACTGGGACACCTTTGAGTGTGAAAGAAGCACTTCCAACAATTATGCTGGGACAACAGGCATACATGGTTCCAGACAAACCAGAACCTACCAGTCACCCTTCCTGATCAGCATGTGCCATACTAAAATCCTCACTTTCCCCAGCAGGACGCCTCCTCTTCCAGAAATAAATATTTGTGTTAATAACACCACTATCCTTTCAGTCACTCAGAGTTAAATGCCTGAATTATATCTGACTCCCATTTGTCTTCCATATTTGGTTTTTCAGGCCTATGGATTCTAGATGAGATTACCAAGGGAGAGAGAAAATGACATAAATAACAGGACCCTAAACCGGATTTTGTTCTTTCATTTAAATTTCCACAGTAACTATCCTAGTTTAGACTCTCAAGGATTACCTAAGCCTGTACTATGAAATGAATTACATCCCCCAAAATATATGTCATAAATCCTAACCTCTATGCCTGTGGTGAGGGGCCCTGGTGGCACAGTGGTTAAGTGCTCAGTTGCTAACCAAAAGGTCAGTGCTTTGAATCCACTAGCTGCTCAGCAGGAGAAAGATGTTGCAGTCTGCTTCCCTTGGAAACTCTATGAGGGTAGTTCTACTCTGTCCTATACGGTGGCTATGAGTGGCAATAGGTTGGGAATGGGTTGTCTTTATAATGTTAATGAGGCAGGATTAGTGTAGGGTGTGTCTTGAGTTAATCTCTTTTGAGATATAAAAGGAGCAGATTAACAAAGCAGAGATAGAGGAAGAAAGATGCCAAGCCACATGAAGACCGTTCAGGGGCAGAAGCTCAGAAGAGACAAGGACCTTCCTCCAGAGCCGACAGAGAGAGGAAGCCTTCCCCTAGAGCCGGCATCCTGAATTTGGACCTCTAGCCTCTTAAACCGAGAGAATAAATTTCTGCTTGTTAAAGCCGTCCACTTGTGGTATTTCTGTTATAGCAGCACTAGATAACTAAGACAGCATTTGGTACTGGAACAGTGGGTTGCTTCTCTAACAGATACCTAAAATGTGGAAGTGGTTTTGGAATTGGGTAATGGGTAGAGGCTGGAAGAGTTTTAAGGTGACTAACAGTAAAGCCTAGATTGCCTTGAAGAGACTGTTGGTAGAATTATGGACGTCAAAGGCAATTCTGGTGAGGGCTCAGAAGGAAGTGAGGAAAGCTATAGACAAAGTCTCATCTTAGAGAATACATATGGCACCAGCAACAGAATCTTGCTAGAAATGTGGATGTTAAATGTGCTTCTGCTGAGGCTTTAAAAGAAAATGATGAACATGTGATTAGACAATGGAGAAAGAGTGATGCTTTTTATGCAGTGACAAACCTGGATATTTGGCTGAGGAGATTTCTCAGCAAGATCTTAAAGGGGCCACATGGTTTCTCCTTGCCACTTATAATAGAATGTGAGAGGAAAGAGACGGACTTAAAAATGAAGCGTGCAAAATGAAAACAGAACTTAAAGATCTGGAAAATTCCACTGTACAAACTAAGGACATGTATCCTAGAATGTTCACCAAGGATGTGGCTACACAAGCTTTTGTTAAAGACATTAATCCTGTGACTGATGGATCTAACCAACTATGACAGCAGAAAACCCTTCAGCTCAGACTGAAGTGGACAGAGAAAGAACAAAAAGAAAGAATGCTGTCTGCCTCTTGGAATTCTATAGGCAGGAAACAGGCCAAAGGAGCTACATCTGTTGTCCTCCAAGAAAAGAAAAGGACCATCCCTGGAGCAGCTTGCAGAGCAGCAGAACTGAAGAAGCACAGGAAGCAGGGCCTTATTGGTTTCAAAGGGTAGGGCCATGGTCTCCTGGATCTCAAGGGGTGGGGCTACAGTCTCCTAGGTTTCAAAGAGTCAGATCATCACAACTCATTTCCTAAGACAACCTCCAAAATGATTTCCTTACTTCCAGCCTCTACCTACTCCAGTTTATCCAACAAACCTCCCCAAAATACAGGTCTGATCACATCATTCAGAAGCTACTGAATTCTGCCATAACAATCACTCCAACTTATAAAACACTCAAATGAATAAGTTAAGAAACTTTAATTATACTTGTCAAACTCTAAACCCAACCCACATATCTAGCTTGTGATTTTTAATATTTTCTGTTTTTGAGAGGGGATCTCTATCTTTTCTTCTTATAAACACAAACACACACAATGTCTAAAAGACAAGAACTAAAAATACATACATAAATAAATAAAAACTGTAACACTATTGTCACACAGAAAAAAACAGTAATTCCTTAATATCAAGTATCTAGTCAGAATTCAAATTTTCCCACTGTCTCAAATTTCTTTTACCATTGGATTGTTTGAATGAAGATCCAAACAAGGTTCACATATTGCATTTAGTTGAACATCTCTTAAATGTCTTTTAATCTATCAGGTCCCTCATTGTCTTTCTTTGTTTTCCTCTTGCAATTTACTTGTTAAAGAAACTGGGTCGTGTGTCTTACAGTATTTTCAACATTCTAGATTTTTCTGGCTGTGTCCCCACATCATTTAGAGCATGCCCCTGTTCTTCGTATGTCCTGTAAGCTGGCAGCGGGATCTAGAGTCTTGGTCATTTTCAGGCTCAGTTCTCAGTTGTGGATATGTCATAGATGGTGTTACATACGTTCAGGGTCATCTCAAATAATATTTCTTCCAAGAAGCTCAGATTGCCTTTCCTCTTTATCCTCCAAAACAAACAAAAAACCTGAACATTCTCTTTCCTTCTTTTGACAACTGATGGCAACATTCACCAGAAGCGGCTTCTTAACATCTGCACTCCTCCTATCACCAACTTGACTAAGAAACTCCTCAAATCCCAAGGACAGTCTTATCAGACTTTGAAACCAATGGAGTCTCCTGCACAGTTCTCTAAATACAGCAAAATTGTATTAGATATCATCTGTACTGAACTTCTTTTCCTTTTTTTAGGAAATGGTTTCAAGTGTATAGAAACCTGTGATTCAAGTCACATCTTTATTGCTCTTTCAAAAGTGATATAAACTGGTTGAAAATAATATTTCAGGAAAAAGATACTCTAACTATCAACGTTTTATTTACATCTCATGGTAAATGTTTAATCTCCTTTAGATTATTTTCCTAATCTCTTAGATGACTAATGTGAAGAGTCGTACATTATAATTCTAAATCAAGATTAGTTGTGTATTAAAAAGAGAAAAATAAAATTTGAACATAACGATTCAAGAAATCAGGAAGAGGGTTTGAATGAGGAAATAAACAGGCTACTTAACTGTAGCTCCCTGTCTATAGCTCCAAAGGTTAACACTGTGGTCTAATAATTTATACTCTTCCTTTAAGAGAAAAATTCTGCCAGCCTACTGAACCTAATTATACAGATTATAGAGCACAACCATCCATAACCAAGCATAAACCAAATGTTTCTAGTAAGTACCAGAGTATACATCATTTTAAAGAATTTATACAACTCTTAAAAAGAAAACCAATGGATTAAAAAGCCAAACACTGCTATCAATTAAGGCGATGGTGATTGTTTCTTAGAGATTCTTTAAAAATACGCTTGCTTCTAACTGGGTTATTTTTCTTTGCATCTAATCGCTGACTAAATTAATAGTCTGTTGTTAAAATCAAGCTGCAAAATCTTTCAGTAGCTGTTGATAAAGATACTACATACTTCACTAACAAATGTTAAAAATCATACAGAAACGTGAGAAGAGTTTTGGGGGTTTTGTTTTTGTTTTGTCACCTTAAGGACGACTAGGGAAGCTGACCCATTGCCACCGGCGGCACTGAAGTTACTAGTAGCGTTCTCACACTCACCCCACTTTCCGTGCACCTTGTATTTTCCAATCTCTTTCTTTCCCACAACTTCTTCCTCTTTCATCCCCTCTTCCCTAAATCTAACTTCCCAGCCTGTGTCGTGGGCACTTTTACAGATATTGTTTAACCTTCCAATAGTACTCATGGATTAAAAAAAAATTTCCTGACACCTGGCAAAGTAACAAACAAATGTAGTAAAACCTGCGAAAGCCAGAACCTCCATGAGGTAGAAAACTTGTCAGAGAAGGAAAACTCACTGGGTGTTTTGAGGTAGAACTCTTAATAGAGAGTGATAGAAAAGTGGTAAGCACTCTGTCAAAGGCAGAAAACTCGTGACACCCAGAAAAAAAGGCAGTCCTGTTCAGTTCTGGCTCTCACAGGTTTCAGTGTAAATACATTACAGGTAGTCCCCGACTTACGACATATTTGAATTACGATGAACCGCACTTACAACCGCCCGTGTGTTTTTTTTTACATCTTGTTGTTAATAATATGTTGCAGCTGATGTTATTATTCTCATATGTTTATTTGCAGTTGTTCAATTTTATGATTTACTGTTCAAAACACTGCTGGATTTATACGGATACTGATATTATAAGGCAATAATAATGAAAACTAAAAAAAAATGAAGTATTTGACTTAAGTCAAAAAACCGACTTACGATGGAGTTGTTGGAATGGAACCCTGTCATAAATCGGGGACTACCTGTATTAACTGGAAAAGATCTATCACCAACAACTGCTTTTTCTCTAAAAGACAAAGTAGGAAGAAAAAAAAAAACCCCACAATCTTATTCAATTAATGAAGAGTTACTCAGATATCTTCAACAGACAGGTTTGCTTTCATCAGTCACTACCATCATCATCACCCCTGGTGTCTTCAACATGCTGGCTAACATGTTACATTCCCAACACCATGGTAAGTGGTCTACATGCATTATTTCATTTAATCCTCACAATAACCCTATGAAGTAGTTTTTGACAAATGGAGAAACGAAAACACAGAGGAGCTAAGAAATTTGCTTAAGGATGTATTACAAATAAGAGACAGAGATGGGATTGAACCCAGAGCTCTTTGACTCTTAGCTTCTTGGCTAGAGTGTTATTTCCTTAATCTCTTGTGGCTTTATAACTTTGATCTAAGGGGTTTACTATTAACTCATTCATCAAACGTCTGAGTTTTACTAAACACCTGGCATTGTAGTAGGCAACAGGATAAAAAATCAAATCTAAAACAGACTATACATAAAATCACAAAAGTACTAATAATAGCTGAATAAAATTAACACAATTACAAATGCTAATTATAAATGAATCTGAACTTAACTGCTGAAAAGATTTCTATAGTACAAAAGACCATAAAAATAGTTACTTTTGTGTAAGGAGTTTTCATTACTCATTCACCTCTCCTCTTGTTTGTCTATGTTCACACAAAGGCCTAGGAGTCCAGACATTTTTTTCAGTGTCAGTAACAACATTTTATGTAATAACTGTACTGCACTTCTGAGAAGAGCTGTAAATGCTGCTTCCAAGATGAGATTTTTGGACTGTGCAAACATTAACTTACATTTATTATTATGACACTAGAAAAAAGCGTGCCTAATCAACACCACAGGTAACCTGAGAAGGGTGCAGATCAGTAGGAGTCCTGGGAACTACGACCACACTTAAAGACAGGTTGGTAACTGTTGCCTGGGTCAGCAATCCTCAGAGTCTCCCCAGTTGTGGAATTAGATCAAAGGTGGCTCAGAGAGCCATGTGATCGCCAATATCCACAGGGAAGAAAAGAGAAGGCCAGGATGCCCAGACTAAAGAATCCTGAGAGAATGTGGGTAATCTCTTTGCTAACCACCCTCCATCTCCATCATTCCACAACTAGGCCAGCAGCAGGGCCATGCAGAGTGAAACGAAGGCCTCCGCACATAACCTCGAAGCCCAGGGTCTGGACTGCGAGATCCCTTAAGAGCCCCAGCAGAAGCCCAGGCACTCCTCCACGGAGAAACTTCCACGCTGCTCCTGCTGCTCTGGTCTCAGAGAGCTGCCCCAGTGTCAGTCCACCGCCACCACCACGTTCAAACCACTGGGCTGACGTATATGCCTACCTTTCTTATGTATAATCAGGCAATAGTTAAGAGACTAAATGCTGACTATAATAGATTTATTAATAAGCTACCCCAAGGCACTTTATTTTAAAAGCATTTTTATAAATGCTGATTTATTTTCTACCCATTTCATTCTAAACAATTACATATCAAGAAATAAATGTACTTCCTGTTTATAAATGAGACAAGTGAAAGAGTTCATTATATGCACAGTTTATCCTAGCCCCACCTAAGATTCCTCAGCCCAACATTTCTAGAGGAGTGTCCTAAGAACCTGGGGATATTTACTGGAGGATGAGGAAGCTTACAAGTGCTACCATATGATAACAGAGCAAACAGGAGATTCTTTCAAGAAAGTTAATATTTTCACCTTTTCCCAGTTTCTGTTAAAAGTGGTAATAAGCTCCTCTCAGAGACATCACAGCAAACAAAAAACACAGCTGCATTTCATACTCCACCACTTACTGCTTTGCCCTTAGTAACTTTAATTGTTCCAAATTATTCTACGATTTAAATATTTTTATTTGAAACATTGGGCACCAACATCAACACTTTAAATTTTAGTTCCGACTATATTACAGAACCTATCTCTTAACTAAAACTTAACACTTCACATAAAACATGACACTGATTTTGTGGCAAAGGGTGAATCTGATGTCCTGTTTAAAATATTATAAAAACAAGTGAAAGTACCTTTTAATAGAGACACTTTAGCAAAGGGTTCATTTAGGTCTTGCTCATCCATTTGGGCGTCTACATAGGGGGAAAAAAGATAATTACAGACAGTACACAGATCTACCAGTAAACTATCATTATCAAAACAAATAATTGGAATTTATACAGCTTCCAGTTATAGATAACTGGAAGTACTTTTAACAAAACACCCCAGTATTCAAGAGAGTGACTTGAGAAATGGAAGCACTGCTTTTTCACAAAACACAAACTTTGAAATCCCCACCCATATTGATGTGTACACCTAAACTGCTTGGTAGGTCACAATAACATCTGCAGATTTGTAAACATTAGGTTAAAACTCACCTGTAGTGTCGTCGCTGCTTTTTTCCTTGCTTGGACTCAGGGTATCTGATAAATCAGATTCCTTTGCTCTTGCCTGGTTTTCTACCAAGAAAAAAAATTAAAGAAAACTCTCATTACAATTAAACATCTTATATCAATAAGCCTCTGCTTCAGGCTATGAGCGCTCAAAATCTGCCGGCATGCAAAGTACTTTTAAAATTAACTGAGTCACTGAATCTTTTACTTCTTCACCACCCTAGTCCAAAATGGAATGCTGGTTATTACACATAACTCATATTAAATTCTAATGTGGCTCCTGTCGGCTGTGCAGAGGGCCTGGGCTTTTGTTCAAGGCTGTCTACTTGCCAACTGGAAACAAAAATGAAGCTAGCTTTGCTAAAGTATTTAGAGAACTGCAACAAATACAGCAAAATTCTTAAGACAACGTCGACAGTGTATGAAGATGATGAAAGGCAAAGGCTCTGATGCAGAGAAACAATAGCTAGAAGGCTGCCTTAGTGATACTTGTATTCATAGAATAAAACTATAAAGCTCACAATTATTTGTTTTAGAGTGCCATTTAAAGCTGAAAAAATGAACAGCCTTTAATTTCTAAAGAAAATATAACTGTACCTGAACTACAATGAGAAAAACTTAACAATTAAGAAAAGTTTTGAAATTATTTGCAAGTGGTATACTGCCTGATTCAATGAAGTTAAAAGAGACTTCCTAGGCATAGTTTTCAACTAATTGTCCTCAAAATTCCTAACTGTAGGTCCAACAGTTTATTAAAGATGACTGGCAGTGAATTAAGCCCTAGAGCCTCATCTGTAATGGCGCATGTGTGTGGACTACGGCATGCATTAAGACAGTGTCATGGATTGAATTATGTCCCCCCAAAATATCTGTCAACTTGGCTAGGCCATGATCCCCAATATTGTGTGGTTCTCCACCATTTTGTGATCTGATGTAATTATGCTATGTGTTATAAATCATAACCTCTATGATGTTAATGAGGCAGGATTAGAGGCAGTTATGTCAACGAGGCAGGACTCAATCTACAGGATTGGGTTGTATCTTCAGTCAATCTCTTTTGAGATACTAGAGAGAGAAGCAAGCAGAGAGGAGAGGGTCCTCATGCCACCAAGAAAGAACTGCCAGGAGTGGAGCACGTCCTTTGGATCTGGGGTCCCTGTGCTAAGAAGCTCCTAGACCCAAGGGAAGATTGATTATGAGGACCTTCTCCCAGAACCGACAGAGAGACAAAGCCTTCTCCTGGAGATGGTGCCCTAAATTCAGACTTCTAGCTTCCTTGACTGTGAGAGAATACATTTCTATTTGTTAAAGCCATCCACTTGTGGTATTTGTTATAGCAGCACTGGATGACTAAGACAGACAGCATTCACAGAGATGGTCATTTCTCTGATCATATTTCTGTAGTATCTCCTCACTCTCCCACAAGGCTTCAGCCAAGCTTTGTACCCCAGAATTTAGCCATACTCTGCATCCTGTATTAATTCCCACAGGAGCTCTGCTTCAGTCAGGCCAACTTTTTTTACAGGGCTGGTGCATGCCAGCTCATTATGGCCTGCAGTTCTTTCCTTGATTTGATATTTCCCTAACCTCAAAGTCCATTCTCTCTACTTGGCCTATTTATTCTGTAAGATACAGCTTGAGTCCCATCACCTCTAAGGAAGTCTTCTTTATTTCTCCAGCATGCTGCTCTTTTATATTGCATCTTCTCTATGCCATATGTTTTTCCCATTAATCATGTTTTATGTTATACCATTCTGTGTATATAAATCTTATTTCCTTAATGAATAAGGGCATGATTTTTTTTTATATAATGTTAGGTACTTGACTGTGCTGTTTGTGGCAATATGCATCAAAATTTAAAATGTGAATTCGCACTTCCAGTACTTTTCCTAAAGAAATAATAGAGTGCTCATTGCAGTATGGTTCATTAATGGAAAAAACTGAAATTTTATATATATATATATATATAACTTTATATATATATTTTTATACAGAAAAAATTTCAAGGTACACTTACTACTATTAAATAAAGTCTGTTAAAGAACAATGTATATACAATATATATGACCCCCATTTGGATTAAAAATATTTAATTTAGCTATGCATTTTTAGTTGCATATATTTATTCAAGGTTTAGAAAGATCTACAACAGAGATCTCTGTAGTTATTTCTGGAGGTATGGACATGAGGGACATTTACTTTCTAACATCACAGACCAAACCCACTGCTGTCGAGACGACTGGACTCATAGTGACCCTATAGGATAGAGTAGAACTGCCTCATAAGGTTTCCAAGGAGCAGCTGATGAATTTGAACTGCTCACCTTTTGGTTAGCAGCTGAGCTCTTAACCACTGTGCCACCAGCGCTCTCATTAGCCATTAGAGAGATGCAAATCAAAATTACAATGAGACATTATCGTACTCCTGCTAAAATGGCACTGATTAAAAAAAAACAGAAAACAACAGATATTGGTGAGGATGGGAGATTGGAACCCTTACTTTCACTGCTGGTGGGAATGTAAACTGGTACATTTGCATGGACTTACCATAATTTATTGAATGAACGCCCTTATTATTGGACACTCATGTTTTCCTCTTAAAACCACACTGAAACAAACACCCTTCCTTGCACATTTCTCCAAATTGTTCTTTAAGGTAAAAACCCAGAAGTGGAATTGCTGGATCAAAAAGCTTTCAATATATATTGTATAGCCATATTTAAAAAGGAAATCGGTAAAACTGGTATCACATAATTTCAGGCAAATACTTTCTAACCCAGAATACATTAAAAAGAAGCACTAAGGTGGCAAGACGCTTTACTTTAAAGCAGCACTGATTTTTTTCCCCTAAGGCTCTGCTTCCACTTCAAAATGCTGGCCATTCAACCAACTAATCTGAATAGGTATTTAGGTGGTGAAGTAAAAGCTATTTTAAAGTCTGTTCTCATCTCATTTTAATAAGATGAAATAAATCGCTATATATGCTAAAAATAGTTCACCATTCTGAAACTCAATGCCTGTTTGCCAGAACAATATTAGTGATGCATATTCCATGCATTCTTTCCCCAAATATGGCATCTGTAGTGCACAAAATTCAGAATGGAAGCCACCAGATTTCTGAAATAACACCATCCTTTTAAATATTTTTAAAGGCGAAAGGATCCAGTTACTTCCATAAAACAGAATGTTCTGAAATTGAATATTTCAAAACTTTGTTTTCACTCATTGGTTTAACTGACCAAAATGATTGTGAATCTAGTTTAAATTTTATGCTGGCACATTCTGATGAAAGTCCCACATGATAATGAGCACATCCCACTAAATTTATTTGTCTGATTTCCCTATGCATAAAAGTGATTTGACAATATGATGCTTTAAAACTCACTTTTCTGACATTGTAAAAGAAAAGAACAGAATAAACTACATTGGACAATTAGAGGACTATTCATTATAAAATATATTTGACAAAATTATTTTGTTTAAATAAAATTGAGATGTCAAAAATTAAGAAAATATTAATAATGAATTTCAAAACTACAATAACCCCAAAAATGGAACTGGAAGCATTTTTCACCTGTGAAAAACTTGTGTTTGATTAAAAATTTCAGATGAAGGCTGAAAATAATGCTGGGGGTGACAGAGAGAGATCGCAGTGAGTCTGTAAAACTTAGAGAAACCTATCAAGCACTAACTTTCAAAGCTACATACACATACACCATTTTAAAAGAAACTTTTCAATTAACATATCCTTTTTAAAACAGAGGTCCAACTACTGTATATAGTCTCTAATACTGTTCACTGAATTGCCATTTTAAAAGCTATAAAAAGAAAAAAAACTGATGGTTCAACCACAATGACCTTGAAAATACACACCAACCTTCATTACTCCAAAGAACTGTCAAAACTCATAGAAAAATCAGAAAACTAACCTTTTGAAAGCTTTGTTTCTTCTACCACTTTGGTGAGATGCCCCTCGACGATCAGCTTCTCTGCCAAAGAAAATAAACGTTAACTATCCAAGCCCAAACCAAGCAGCGTTTCCCGAACAGGGCAGTGCAACACATTCCATGACCAAATTTAAAACTGACAGCATTACTCCTATTACCAGGCTTGAACAAAAACTTGAACCTGGAAGGAGAACTGAGAGAACTCGGACTATGGTAGAGCAATTAGATTAATGCAGTGAACTGGGGTAGGGGAACAATTTGGAAACACAAGTTTTGCCTTTTCTTTTCATTAATTTTCACCTTATTAAAAAAGTATGTTTTAAAAGACTTGGAACAAACAATCAAATCAACACTCTTTAAATCAAGGATATTAAGTTGAAATAAAGGAATTCTGAAAAGGCATTTTATTTAAATAGAGAAGTGATAAAAATTATGTTATACCAATAGTTTACTTTTCCCTAAGGATACAATTCAGCAGAGATACCTCAGTATTTCAGTAAACTGAATCATTTAAGGAGAATAATTATTGAAAGAAAAAAAGTTTAATTTCTTTTTTGTTTTATGGGGGATTCTCTGTAAATGTATAGTGCAGCTTTTAAAAATAATTTAAATTCAGATTTTCATATTCTGCATTTCCCTGAGGCGGGAGAATGTACCTATTCTTTATATCCCTCGATTTAATCCTGTGTGTCAGTTGGTCTCCTTCAGTTTACACTTTTGCACTGTGTAAGATAATTTCTCTATTCTTTCACTTTTGAACATACTGCAACTTGGTCCACACCCACCACTGAACCACGGCAACTGCTCCACGATCTCCACGGCCTCCTATCTGCCAAGGCCTAGACGGTTCCTTCTCATCATGTTCATTCCCGTTGTGTTACAATTTAACTTACTGTGGCTAACACAACGTGAGACCCTTTGTTTCTCTCCGGAAGTTTTCAGAATCTTTATCCCTGGTGTTCTTAAATTTCAGCGTATTTTTTGTTTTGCTTTTTTAAATTGAAGTGGAATTTCGTAACTTAAAATCGACCATTTTAAAATGAACAATTTAGTGGGATTTAGTCTATTCACAATGTTGTGCAACCACCACCTCTTATCTAGTTCCAAAACATTTTCATTGCCCCCAAAAGGAAACCCTGTAATCATGAAGGAGTCACTCCCCATTCCCTCCTCCCCACAGCCCCTGGCAACCACTAATCTGCTTTCTGTCTTTACGGATTTACCTATTCTGCATGTTTCATAAATGAAATCATACAATATATGGACATTTGTGTTTGCTTACTGTGTGGGCTTTTTAAAATGTATTGTGCTGAGCACTTGGTGCATGATTTCAGTTTAGAAGCTCGTTTCACGAGAATTGTCTCATACTCTATCTCTTTAATAAATTCTTTTTTTCTCCTGCCTACCTCTCCCTAACATCTGCTCTTCTCTCCCTTCTTTCCCTTCTCCCCCTGCCCCGCATCTCTGTAACTCTTATCATTCAGATGTTTGGTCTCTTGGATTAATCTCCTAATTTTATTACATTTTTCCTCCTTTTTTTTAAAAAAAAAAACTATCTTTTTGTTATGTTTTCTGTAATATTTCCTCTACTTTCTCTTCTAATGCTACCGATTCAAAAAAAAAAATCTGGTATCATACTTCTAGTTTTCAAGAATTCTTCTTGCACTCTGCTCCTTTTTCTTATTTCAGCCATAAAACACCTTATTTTTCTGAAGAAATCAGTTATACTTTCTTTGAAGTTTTCTTCTGCTTGTTGCATTTTTTTCCCATGTCCTTCCTCGTCACATTTTCTGTTGGTTTATTATTTGTTTTTTTGTCAAACCATTTTTATTTGGAGTTTCAGGTTCAATTCAGTCCCCCAGGAGAAAAGCTAAACTAGAAGAGGCACCACAGTTTTGTGCCTTGTTCAGTACAGCTTGTAAAACTGTCTGAAGCCCTTGGACTTACACAGTTTACTCTTTTCGAACGTTAAGTACAACTACCCAGGCTTTTGATGCTGAGCTCATGTAGGAAAATCCTGCATGTGAAAGAAGCAAATTAAAAGCACAAAGAAGGAGCTGAAAGGTACTGTCCTGTCCCTGATCCACCGTCCCACTGGCTGGCTCTGTTACCTCGCCAAGGTGGCAGCAGCGTTTATTATTTGTTTTGATCTCTGTGTTTCTCAATGGGGAATTTCCTCAAAAGTGGTGACCTTGGCTGTCTCTTCATATTCAAGGGTGAGGCAATAAAAAGCTGACAAAGTTCTGTGTGCATGAACAGGGCTTGTTACCTGCTGGGTGGCATGGTGGCAGTTTGTTGGGTGACCTTCAACTGTCAACATCAGTAAGTGTTTTCTCTTGGTCTGATTAGCTTCCCTGGAGTGAAATCCTCTAACCTCCTTTCTGAGGAGTGTAAACCTGGTTACCAGTATTCTGGTTCATTACACAGATTTTCACTTATTTTGGCCACCTTTCTTCAGTAAGGTGTTCAGCCATGTCTGATGTACCCCAGGCTAGAGACTCTGTTTTAGCCTCCAGAGAGGAAAAAGCCTCCAATCTTTTTTGTGGGAGGAAACAGGCATCTGTCTGTTTGCATGGACTGGGGAAAGAGAAATGCGGGTCAAAGTATCCCTTTTATAGACTTCTAATCCTTCTGCTTTCAGTACCACCCTGCCCTGCTTCACAGGCACTAAGTGCCTCCGATACCTGAAACACAGTTTTAACTCAGTTTTTCACCTTACTCCACCTTTCTGAGAGCCTTCAACAAGAGAAAATGGAAGCCCAAATCTGTTCCCACTCAATTATCTGTTTTACACCTTCCGTAATTTTTGTTGACAACTATTATCTGCTGTAGTCTCCTCTGTCATTCTCTCCGTCCTTGTGATGCTATCTTTTACAATCTTAACTACTGTCATTTTAGTTGGGTTTCAGGAGGGAGGAATTATAAATGATAGGTCTGTTCATATTTCATCAGACATTTACTATCTCCCTTTTGAAACTCTCCTTTGACTTCCAGGATACCTCTCATTTCTACTTCTTCTATATGCTTGCTTATTGGCTTTTCCATGTCTTCCCCTTCCTCTGATTGTAATCTCAGCATGCGTGTTATCCTTTTAAGATCTCTGTCAACAACAACAAAAATCCTTTTTTAATGACTTTATGGACCTTGAATAATTTCTAAATGTTGAGCTAAGTCCAGCTCTCTCTCTTAGGCTCCAGGCCCCTATGTTCAACTGCTTCTCAAACATCTTTACCCAGAAATCTCACAGGGACTTAATCTTACTATGTCTAGAACTGAATTTATCTTGTCTTCCTGTCTCCTAGGAGCCCTGGTGGTGCAGTGGTTAAAAGCTACAGTGAGCTATAGCTGCTAACCAAAAGGTGAGCAGTTCGAATTCACCTGCTGCTCCTTGAAAACCATTTGGGGCAGTTCTACTCTGTCCTACAGGGTTGCTATGAGTTGGAATTGACTCGACAGCAACAGGTTTCCTGTCTCCTCAATGGATATGGAATCTTTCTTCCGTAAGCTTCTGTAGCTCTTCATTCATATCTCTATTAAGGATTTTAAATTATATTGTAATTATCCATTTATGTTTACCTTTCCAAACACACTATGAATTCCTTCAAATATTTACTACGCACTAGGCACAGTACTGGGTGTTCTCTATTGATTACCAAGATAAACATGATCTAGGAATTTAGGGTCTAGTGAAAGCAAGCAGGTATCTTATTAATAATTTAACCCCCAACACAATTCTGACATGAAACCGATATTCCACAAATGCTTGTTATAAGACTATATCAAATAATAAAACACAAGCACAAACTTTGAAAGCCAGTCTTTCTCTAGTACACTGAAGATCTAAGTACCAACTTGTTTTTTAAAATTATAAAGACACATTGTTGTTTTCATTGTTAGTTGCCATCCAGCTGATGCTGACTCATGGCGACCCCACGTGTGCCAAGTAGAACTGCTCCCACATGGTTTTCAATGCTGTGATCTCTTGGAAGCAGATGGCCAGGCCTGTCTCTTGTGGCACCTCTGAGGGGGTTCCAACTGCCAACCTTTCGACTAGTAGTCAAGTGCTTAACCCTTTGCACCACCCATGGACTCTATAAAGACACATTGTTGTTCTGTGCCATGCTGAGTTGATTCTGACTCGTAGTGACCCCTTGTGACAGAGTAAAACTGCTCCACAGGGTTTCCTACGCTGTAATCTTTATAGGAGCAGATCGTCAGGTCTTTTCTCCTGCAGAATGGCTGGTGGGTTCGAACCGAAAGGCAGATTCCCAACCAAAAACCCTATGCCATCAAGTTGATTTGGACTTACAGTGACCTCATGTGATAGAGTAAAACTGCCCCCATAGAGTTTCCAAGGCTGTACATCTTTACGGAAGCAGAATTGCCACAACTTTCTCCCTCAGAGCGGCTGGTGGGTTCAAACTGCTGACCTTTTGGTTAGCAGTCGAGTGCTTAACCACTGTGCTACCAGGGCTCCTTTTGAAAGACAGATTAAATGCATTGCCGTGGAGTTGATTCCGACTCATAGCAACCCTACAGCACAGAACAGAACTGCCCCTTAGGGTTTCCAAGGAGCAGCTGGTGGATTCAAACTGCTGGCCTTTTGGCTGGCAACAGAGCTCTTAACTACTATACCACCAGGGCTATAATTCATTGCTCAAAATCCTCTAACCCATGGAACAAAATGTGAAGTCCCTACCATTACCATATGATCTAGCTCAGGGGTCAGCAAACCACAGCCCCGCAGGGCCAATGTGGCCTGCTGCCTGTTTGGTAAATGAAGTTTTATGGGAACATAGCCAAGACTGTTCATTTATACATTGTCTCTGGCTGCTTTCCACTACAATAGCTGAGTTGAGTAGTTGTATAACAGAGGCCTTATAGAGAGCAAAGCCTAAAATATTTATTATCTGGCTCTTCACAGAAAAAAGCATTCTTGTTGTTCTAAAACCCTCACCTCAGTCCACCCAGATACATGTGCAACTCACTCACCCATCTCGAGTCAAGTGTCGTCTCCCTAAAGAGCTGATAGCCATACCTTT